ACCAACAAGAACCGAAATGTCAAGCCTCTTTCAATATTCGAATTCAACACTCAAGATAGAGTGCTCAGGCTGACTGAAACCAAGCACATGTAGCGCAGTCCTGTCCATTTAAAGTTTGCGTTCCCCATCACTGTAAAGGAGATATTAAAACGGTCACGGATAACAAAAATACCCAAAGATGTAAAGATTGTGAAGGGGGACCGACTGAACGTAACGCTGGGTCTCATAGTCTTGAATAATTTCGCAAACCATGCGCGTATAACAGGATTTTGAAATAAACTGAACATAATGTATAGTAATATCCTATAACGTTTGGGTTATCTAAAAATTAAAGGCATCGTCTTTGTGGCAATGCAATGAGCTTTACATCATTTGCCATGACAGCCGTGATAACATCGGTTGAAATCTGTGTGGTTGACTGGTCTAAGATTAGCATGATACTAGTAGGTCATTCCTTGTGGCAGTGGCGTATGAAAACTGTGTTCAACAACCACTTTTGGACCAGATCCCTGTCCGTGTATCATGATGGCGACACCGAGAACAGGGTGTTAGGGAAAGCTAACACATAGATATGGAAATATTCGATTGTATGAAGCGCAGCTGTTACATATTGTGCAAAGAAATTTTGACCTAAAATAGCGGCGTGAAACTGGAAACTCGTGTTTAATGAAAATGATGAGAAACTGATGCAAAACAAAGGTTTTCCAAACAATATGTGTGTACTTACTTGTTACACAGTCTCGATCCGCTGCCCGTTTCTTGCCTGGCCCTTCAGGAAGAACAGATTTTAGTAACAATGTCAATATGCTTTAAATCTATGCAGGTGGCCAATTACTATAGCATACAATGACGCAGAGCATGAAACTACTTGCGAGGAACAGGGGCTCGTTCCCCTCCTGGAAAATAACGAGGAGATTGATCTTTCTCAAGGGAGTAACAGATGTTGACAACATTACACAAGGTTGACAGCAATTCCACCACTTTGCTGTCTGATTGGTGTTAATGCAGTGCAGCTCTTGTTATGGTGTTTTTTTTAGTCAACACCTCGAAGCTATTATTTGTCACGCTGTAGAAGGCTGACTGTATCTGTCGTTTTCCCATTGTCACTTTTACCCCTGACTCTCCGGTTATATTTATTAAGCCAGCCACCCAGCATGGAGGTGTCACTAAAGCAGTTAATAATCACGTTTCCTGTCGGCTCACAAATTGGACGGATGTTCCCCCATCCGTAACCCTCTCCTATTGGTCCTCACTTCCTACCCCCTACCTACCCTACGACTCATCCTCATTCGTCGTCGCCACTTCATAGTGAGCGGTTGAGTGTGTACTTCTCTCCGTGAACTTTGTCCCTCGTGTTCAGGTCGAGCCTATCTCTCTCTGTCTTTTGAGGCTTCTTACGTTGACCGCCGCCATGCCAAAAACCCGTAGGCGCTCCTCCCGGGCTTCGGCCACACAAACCTTGCCGGTGGATGACACGCCGCCCGCCCCACGCCCGTCTCCGTCAACGCTCTCAACCGGCGTGAGTACCGACCCCGACGCTCTAGCCCTCGTCCCGCCGGCGCCACCTACCAGTACGAACCTCGACGATCGGTTCTTCAGGACCCCGCTGACTCAACAAGCCCAGGCCGGCCCCTCCCGACTCCACCCCGCCAGAGAACACAGACTCCATCATGGCGGTTCTGTCTCGGATGGAGCAGAAACAGACCGCCGTGGACCAGAGACTGGAGGCGTTGCAATCGGAGGTGCGGGCTAGTCGGCAGACACCCAGCACCAAGGAACGCACCTGGGCCCGAGAAGGGAACAAAAAGAACTACAACTTCAACATAGGCCTGCGGGACCAGCTCACCACCGCTACGGTGCTAACTTCACCGGAGGACAAGGACGCCATCATCAACAAGGCAATAGGTGAGATTGACACACGCAACCGAGACATAATCCTTGCTGACAAAGTCTCTTGGTCGGCTGTCGACCGTTTTCACTCTAACAGTGAGGTGACCTTCGCTTCCAAGGAGGAGGAATCTCGATGGACCAAGGCCGTTGAGGAGGACCGTCGGCGCCTCTCCTCGCCCTCCACACGCCCTGCTAATTCTAACCGTCCCACCACCACTTCTACCATCTCTAAGCCACTTACCCCTACTTCTCCCCAGTCCTTTCGATCCCCCCGTGCTTGCTACACCTGCGGAGACCCCAGACACCTCGCCAACTCTTGCCCCAAGTTTTATACCAAATAGTTCTCTTTCTGATCATTTTTCGTCTTCCCTTACAGCTCTAACTCATTTTTCCTTCACACAGGCGGACGATTCCCATGACCGTGTCTCTGCTTCTCATACACCCCCTGTTGTTTCCAGCGACATTCCGTTTGACCACATCGATGACCACATACACATTCTCTTTGAACAGGATGCGGACCACCCCAAGGTCCGGGGGAGACTTCGGGAGCGTCTAGACAAATGGCGCGCCATTGTCGCCTGCCCTTTTGTCCTCCGCATCATCCAACATGGTTTTTGTCTCCCTTTTTTTACAACTCCCACCTAATAAAACTTTCCCCAACTAACAGTCTTGCCACACACACAGCACCTTTGTAGACGCCGCCATTCAAGAACTCCTGGCCGTGGGAAGTGTTGTGGAAGTGCCATCCAGAGACCACCTACGACTCTGCAGTCCCCTGAAAGTCGTCCCCAAGAAGGGCGGCAAACTACGTCTGATCATAAACCTCCATTTTCTCAATACACACTTAGCAAAATTCAAGTTCTGCTATGACGGTATCCCCTGTCTGATAGACCTCTTTCGCAAAGGCGATTGGTTCGTCAACTTCGACCTGAGAAACGGATACCATCACATCGATATAGCAGAATGTCACATGCCGTATTTAGGATTCACCTGGTCTGATCGTTTCTTTATCTTCGCATCCCTACCCTTTGGCCTCTTGCCAGCCCCCTTTGCCTTTACTAAGCTAATGCGACCAGTGGTTGCTCACTGGCGTGGTCAAGGATTTCGATGCTTCATGTACCTGGACGACGGATCTGGTGCTGATATTTCTTTCCAGGCATGCACCCACATGGCTACAGTCATGCGACAGGATCTAGCCGACCTGGGGCTCTTGGCTCACCAAACCCCTCCCAAGACGTTTTGGACTCCCCGCCAAGTCGGCGAGCTTTTAGGTTATATAATTAACCTTCGCGACGCTTCCTTTCAGGTCCCACCCGCCGTTGTGATTTCTATCCAACCTCATCACTAACGCCATTTCCTCCGCCGACAGAATTTCGGCACGGTCTGTTGCACGCATCACGGGCAACCTGGTATCCATGAGCCTAGCTCTGGGGCCTGTCGTCCGATTATGGACCAGGAGTCTGTACTCTTTCATTTCCAGTGCGATATCGTGGGACACCCACCACTGCCTCCCACGGGAGGCGAGGGATGAACTTGTATTTTGGAGGGACAATTTCGCCCGTCTACAAGGCTACCCCATCTGGAAACCATCCCCGTCAGTAGATATAATTACTTACTCCGACGCCAGTAACCATGCCTGGGGTGGCTTTACCGTCACCCTTGGTTCAACCCACACAGCGAGGGGCAACTGGGAACGTCACCAGGCAGCCCCTCTTACAAGCTCCACTTACAGGGAGCTTCTCGGTACTAGACTGGTTCTCCAATCACTCATCCACCTTCTCCCCAATAAACAGGTTCTCCACCGTTCCGACAATCAGAACGTCGTTCGCATACTCTCCGGAGGTAGCCCGGTACCACAGTTACAACAAGAGGCTGTAGCTATCTATTCTCTATGTGTTCAGAACCACATTCACTTGACTTCAGAGTGGATACCCCGTGACAGGAACGAGCAAGCAGACTACCTGTCTAAGATTGTTGACTTCGACGATTACAAGCTAAACGTGTCTATCTTTCAGGCGTTAACAATTCTATGGGGTCCCTATACATACGACCGGTTCGCCAGTCACTTTTCGGCCCAATTGACCCCCTTTTCTTCCAGATGGTGGAATCCGAGGGTTGACTCCGTCAATGCTTTCACCTTGTCTTGGGCACAACACACCAACTGGTTATTCCCCCCTCCCCGACTGATCCCGAGAGTTCTCTCCAAGATCAAACAGGACGCCTGCTGTGGGACACTCATCGCGCCATTCTGGCGTTCGGCTGCCTGGTGGCCGCTCCTGTGCCCCGACGGACGCCATCTATCCGACACCTTTGTGAACTGGACAGACCTCCCGCCTGGGCCGGACTTGCTGAGTGGCGCTCCCTCGAACTCCACGTTCGCCCGTGTGCCCCTTGGATTCCGACTTCTGGCCCTCCGGTTCTGCCTATGCGGAACATGCCACCCTTACCCCCCTATCCAGTCCCTCCTTGTATCCACCCCTCGTTTTATCCCCGGTGTTTACCCGTAATTTTCCTTACCCCTCCCTTTCGTCCACCCCACCCCTTGGTTTGAGTTTGATCTGTCTCGCCTCCGTCCCCTTCCCCCAGACTGAGGTGTCACCGTTCATTCTCTCACCCAAATTCTGCTTCGCACCCTCTTTTCCAACTCCTCCCGCTTAGGGAGTACAGTTGCAACGTTGAACAGGTTCGGTCCCCATTGGACCCGTCATCACCGTCAGGGGATTACTACCAATCCCCGGACGGCCCGGACATCTTCTCGTGCTAACACCTCGGTTTATGCTCCCCGTGTGAACACAAACCGTTAACACCTTGACTCGTGTCCCCCGTGTGGACACGAGCCTGCCGTCAGTTGACTCCCTATCCCCCGTGTGGACACAAACCTGCTGACACCTCGACTACATGACCCTGTGAGAACACAAACCGTTAACACCTTGACTAGTGTCCCCCGTGTGGACACGAGCCTGCTGACACCTCGACTACATGACCCTGTGAGAACACAAACCGTTAACACCTTGACTAGTGTCCCCCGTGTGGACACAAACCTGCTGACACCTCGACTACATGACCCTGTGAGAACACAAACCGTTAACACCTTGACTAGTGTCCCCCGTGTGGACACAAACCTGCTGACACCTCGACTACATGACCCTGTGAGAACACAAACCGTTAACACCTTGACTAGTGTCCCCCGTGTGGACACGAGCCTGCTGACACCTCGACTACATGACCCTGTGAAATCACGAACCTTTAACACCTTGACTCGTGTCCCCAGTGCGGACACAAGCCTATTGACACCTCGACTACATGACCCCGTGTGGGCACGCGCCCATTAGCACCTCACTGCACGTCCCCCGTGCGGACACGTGCAGCTCGTAAGTCGGACAGTACACGGCCCGTCACCGCCGAAGCAGGTCCACACACCCCCGTGAGGCTGTACGACCTACCTGTGACAACCCATCGTGCAACCTCTACCTGCTGGGATCCACCGCACCTAGTTCATCGTGCTACCTTCGGGTTTATGTCCATCCTCGAACTGGCCAAACCCGCTGGACTTTACACCTGTCGGAGTTCTATCCTGTCTTAGCAGGGTTAGACCTGGACTGTGATCTTATGCGTCATACCCGTTTATTAGTCTTCCGGGTTGGTACCTAGTTCATGCGCGACTTACCGCGTATATTGTTGTTGTTCGCCCGCCGTCGGGCCCTCACTTTATGTATCCTTGCACCGTGTTTCGCCAGACATGCCTCGTTAGTCCCTAGGACTTGCTATAGTTGTCAGGATGCTGATTAATTGTTGTTATTGTAGACTAGAACCACGGAAGGCACCGTTAGCCGACTATTTTAGTCGTTGTTTCAGAGTAGTTTTGGTTAGTAGACATGCATCTTATATTGTTTTTATACCTATATATTTATATTCTCTTTTCTGTATGTATATATATATGCATGTTATGCGTATATATATGTGTGTTTGGATATCCTTGTATGTTTTTGGGTTTTTCCCCCCTTGCTCAGTATTCTGTTGATTGATGTGAAGTTTTGGTTGTGCTTTTACCTTTTACAATCGTTCGCTCCTTGCTCCCCACATCGGAGTGGCATTGTTCCTTTCCGGGCGACCTACCCCCCCCCCCTCCCACTACCGTCCCATTAACCCATCCCGCCCTCCCCTTCCTGCCGCTCCTCCAGCCATCGCCTCCTCCCACACCTACCCCGAACTCCATGACCTCAAGGACCCCGAACTTCAACGCCTGGCCTGCGCTCTACCATCCGTCGTTATCTCCGACAGAGCTCCCAGCACCGTCAAGAAGTACGTGAGAGCCTTCCGCGCCTGGGAAACCTTCGCCTCATCCAAAGGACTGTCCCCCCTTCCAGCTCGTGGCCCACACCTGGCACTTTACCTACTCAAACTCCTACAGTCTTCCCGCTCTGCCGCCCCACTGGAAGCCGCCGTATTTGCCGTCGCCTGGGCTCATCGCATCGCAGGCCATCCATCACCCCACTCTCACCACCTACCATCCCAAGTACTGCAAGCTGCCAAGCGTATCCTCGCAGCCCCTGTCTCCAAGAAGCTACCCCTGACACCATGTCACATCCGACAACTCTGCTCCACCTACGTTTCACCTTCCATGAACATTGACACGCTACAGACTCTCTGCCTTATCGTCATCGGTTTCGCCGGATTCCTCCGCTGGGATGACTTGAGTCAGCTACACGCAGACGATGTGAACTTCTGCGACGGCTACGCCGCCCTTTTCATTGAGAAACGGAAAAACGATCAGTTCAGGGAAGGCCATTGGGCCTGCATCGCCACCACCGGTTCTACCTCTTGCCCCGTAACCCTCCTCAAGCGTTTCCTCAAGTCCTCCAACTCATCCGGCCACATCAAGCTCTTCCGTCGAGTCTCTAATCACCGTGGCAACATTTCCCTGCGACAGGAACCCATGTCTTACACGAGAGCTCGGGAAAAAGTCCTCTCCATGTTGTCGACCATCGGCCTGGATCCAACCAGATACGGCCTACACAGCCTCCGTTCGGGTGGAGCAAGCACCGCTGCAGCCATGGGCGTCCCAGACCGTCTCATCGCGCACCACGGTGGCTGGCGCAGCACCGAAGCACGAGAAGGCTACATCCTCGAGTCCAAGTCGGCTATTCTTGGAGTCTCCCGTTCCCTCGGCCTTTAATCCCCCCCCTCCCCACCATCCACCCCCGGCTTCACCGCCTTCTTCTATCCTTTTGTTTTCGTGGCGTGCGCACGACTACCCTACCCTTGTGTCTGTCCAGTTTGTGAATAGACAGGAAACTTAGTTCTCTTCGGAGTTTACGAAGAAGAGAAATCACGTTTCCTGTCGGCTCACAAATTGGACGGATGTTCCCCCATCCGTAACCCTCTCCTATTGGTCCTCACTTCCTACCCCCTACCTACCCTACGACTCATCCTCATTCGTCGTCGCCACTTCATAGTGAGCGGTTGAGTACCCCCCGCCCAACCCCTCTGCCGCACTAACCCGGTCGCCCGTTTTCCTTGCCCTAGAGTTCTATAACTGTTATCTACCTTGTTCATCACCCGAACCAGATATGTAACTGTTACCTACCTTGTTGTTCGTCACCCGGATCATATAATGTAATCTGTTATCGACCTTATTGTTCGTCATCCGGACCAGTTAATGTAAACCTACCTTATTGTTTGTCACCCGGACCAGATAATGTAACTGTTTATCTCCTTTTGGTCGTCACCCGGTCCGATAATGTAAACTGTTTATCTACCTTATTGTTCGCCACCCGGACCGATAATGTAAACTGTTTATCTACCTTATTGTTCGCCACCCGGACCGATAATGTAAACTGTTTATTTACCTTATTGTTCGCCACCGGACCGATAATGTAAACTGTTTATCTACCTTATTGTTCGTCACCCGGACCGATAATGTAAACTGTTTATCTACCTTATTGTTCGTCACCCGGACCGATAATGTAAACTGTTTATCTACCTTATTGTTCGTCACCCTGACCGATAATGTAAACTGTTATCTACCTTATTGTTCCTCACTCGGACCACACAATGTAAACTGTCATTAATATGAACCGTCTTTACCCAGTGCCTGGTCACTTGTACCTTTTGACATCTTCATATTATACCCCGTTATCGATGTTCGGCTACACGTGTTCCATATAAATAAACACTCAACCGTGGCGTGCGCACTCAACCGTGGCGTGCGCACGACTACCCTACCCTTGTGTCTGTCCAGTTTGTGAATAGACAGGAAACTTAGTTCTCTTCGGAGTTTACGAAGAAGAGAATTAACATTACAAAGTTATCAACGTCTCGTGTAAAGTAAAGACGATAGTTCATTTATTACCTGTGAAGACACTTGCTTCTTCTCACTCTTTCCCGCCTTCTTCTTTGCCAATGCCTCTTCTTTGCCAATGCGTCTTCTTTGCCAATGCCTCTTCTTTGCCAATGCCTCTTCTTTGCCAATGCCTCTTCTTTGACAATGCCTCTTCTTTGACAATACCTCTTCTTTGACAATGCCTCTTCTTTCCGTTTCTGTCTAATCTCCAGTCGCTCTTTACTAAGATTTTTAAAAAGATCAAATGAAATGCCATGTCGCCAGAACAGCCTATCCCAGTTAAACGTGGATAAACGACGAAGTCTTTTGTTTCTTTCTTACGCTTATATCAGGTCGACATGGGAGTCTCTACCATTTCCTTGTAGCAGATATGATAATCTGAATAAAGGAAGAAGTGCATGTGAACATACAATTCAACTTATACACCTACATTCGACATCATCCATATGTTTCCTAGCTACACCATGTTAAAAAAAGAACGAACAACTCATTCACATTACTGCCGTCCACAGCATGTAAAAACCTACTTCCCCTAAAAGAAATGCTAATCATACTAACAATCATACATAGTGTAAATTAGTAGCATCAAAGAATCCCACCCGGAACTGAAGTAGGCCAAAAGGCATTCTATCCAACTAGAGAACAAGGGTGGAAGTGCCCTGCCTTTTGTGCTGAGAATGTTCACCAACTTGTATAGGATGTTGGGCTCGTTGTTTTGTTGCAGTCTTGTATTCTTTAGCATTTTTTCATTTGGATAAGGTCGAAACAAAGGGTACAGTGCAGTCAATGGTGTCTTGCTATTTTCTGTCGTACTATTTTCTGTCGACAACTGTATACTTTCCGTCTGTATCGAAATGCGGTCGGCACCAGCTGCAGATCGTATTCGAACAGTAGGACTCTGCATGGGGTATTTACGGCCATGGGAATGGAAGATCTTTCTTCTCCTTGCAATGCTTCATCTTCTGTACTCTCAATTCGTGCAGCGCACTATGCAGCATTTGAACTACCTCTCCTTTACGGAACATAAGCAAGATGCTCATTTTTAAGCTTTCTGTTTTGTCACCAAAGATGTTCTAAACACACATTTTAAGTGTGAAAGTAACCATGAAGAAGTCATCTTGTCTTTGTCCTCATTATTCAGATCATTAATTCTCTCAAAGTGCACAAGGAAGCTTTCGTATTTATCACACAACAGCAATGCCTTGTTTTGAAGGAAAAGATTCCCTACTTCAATGCAGAGCTTGCTGGCTGCCACTGTGATTGCATGTTGCTGTTTTGCTGCTTCATTTAGGTCACGTGTCAGTTGCTCAATGATTAATAAGAGCTAATGTAGAATAAAAACTAATATATCCTAACTACTCAAACAACAAGGGCTAGCCCAAGTCTTTGATATAGTGTTATATCGAGTGAGGTTAATCGCAAGTTTCGGTGTTTTTTTTCTAATAACAAAGTAGTCTTTTGTATTATTTACCTTTTTTCTGCATTGTGGATAGACACGTAGGGGAGAGCAATGGTATGTCCCGACAGCGTCTCCCAGCCTGGTGTGGCCTCTCCACCCTCCAAGAGACGCCTGAGCCCCTGCCGCCGGTTTTCCTGCTGGTACTGCCGCTGGCTGAGCTAATGCTACCGGTCCTCCTGCTGCCGCCGCTGGCTAAGTTATCGCCACCGGTCCTCCCGCGGCTGCCGCCGGCTGAGCCCCTGCCACCGGTCTGCCCACAGAGGCTGGCCGTGCTATCGCCGCCGGTCCTCCAGCCGCGATCAGCATCTCACTCAGGCTGCAGTTCTTGTACCCTTGTAGATAAGAATACTTATCTACAAGAAATATCGTTGTGTGTCAAGACCTTACCGACAAGCCTTCTCTTTGTATTGCGGCCAGAAGACTTAGGTGTTGTAACAGGCAGGAGGATGTCTTCCTGGCGACATCCTGGCGGCGGCGACCTTGTTTATATTTCCGGTCTCATTTGGTGCCATGACGAAGTAGCTTATTCCGACAAAACCAATACTTCAGCATCTTTCAATAAAAACATTTCATGTTTAAGTAGTTAAAGTAAATGTTGATCCCCCGTCCCTTTCCATATCCCCCTTCCCTCCTGACTCGACCATCACCGCTCCTCCTGTGATACCCTCTCCCACCGTGGGTCTATGGGTTGTAGTTCCTGCAGAAAAAAAAGAAGAGAATTATGATATCATTACATTAGATTATTTCGGTAAGACTAGTTCAAATGCTTTTTTTTGCAAATGTATAAGGAATAAGATATTAATTCAAATATAACAAAGGAAAATTTGAGCTTACCCTTCATGCAGAATACCACGGCGTTTGCATTAGTCTTCTGCTTTTTCAGGACTTGAAATGCAAGCTTAAAAGATCCACCACCTTGGTCACCTCCCATCTTGTGACAAACTTCATTCTCTGGTATCACGCCTCCATGCAACGTCAGATCTCTGTAAACATTTGTACAGCCGGCAACTGTTGACCTTCTTCTGCGCATGGTCGTCCCCCAAGGCCACTTGTACCAGGTTCCCCTGGGAGAGGGCTTCCAACTTTCGGGTCATCCAGATGGTGCGTGGACCCTCTCCTGTTGTTGTAAAATTGAGTGTGGAAAGTAGTTAGAAGCATTGATACACAATCTTCGTATGGACACGGGGAATTTTTATTCAATAACTGATAAATATTGAGACAAAACTGACTGACTTACCCAGTGTAAAGTGGCGTGACGTTAGGCCGGAGAAGAGGCCCTCCGTTCCACCGTGGGAGGTAATGAGTCCGGGGTGGGCCAAATTGGCCGTCCCGCTTCTCATTATGAACCGACGTAACTCGAGTTGTTTCTTCATTTGCCTTCATCCATTACGATTTCCTCAACATAAAACAGAAATACTGTTGTAATGTAGAACTACTTTACACGACAATGCGTCCTGAAAAAAAACACGTCTAATGGAAGTAACATCTTCTTAAATATGTCCAAAATATCTTCAGCGCAGATAGAAGCTATGGAATATTTTTTGTTGATTTTCATAGATATTCTTGTGCATCCTAAGTCTTCAGTGCTCAGTGATATACTTTATAAACTTTGTAAACTTGTAAAAATACATTCCTTACCTTTCCTCCTGTTTTTGCAACGAAAGTGTTGTTTGTACTGCCATCGAGCATGGCAGTGAATGCTATATCCTTATCTGCAGAGAGGGGACCCTGTACATGTTCACCCAGGGTAACTCTGACAGTACCAGGTGTTACATTTGCCGTGACTGGTTGCACTGTTTGAAGTAAGTAGACAGGAGGAGGCGGGGTGGCACAAACATGAGGACTTGTATTAGGGGGAGGGCTGACTTGTTTATCTGGTTTATATAATTACTACTAGTACTATTACTAGCACATGGAGATGTTTTTTCTTCAGCCCTTGGACGACCAGTAGATTTGTTTCTCTTACGTCGCCAACCTATCCCGTCAACAGTGCGGATACTTTCTCGCAGTGTGCATGGACAATCATTGCCATGGTGATACCATGGCAACCTTTTGGGCTTGCCCTGTTTTGGGGGGCTTGTACAGTTTTGCCCTGCTCTTGTTGCAAAAGTAGGGTGGGTGCTGGTCACTCCTATCTCTTCGCACGGCACAGCTTTTAAGATTTTATCTGCAAGTCAAGAAACTGATTCGGATGAAGTTTTTGCAGCATTTCTTTCTTGTGTGAGGGCTACATCTCCGCAAAACTTACACAATTTAGAAATTTTGTTACTAGGTAGTTGTAATTCAGACATAGTAGTACACAAAATATTTTAAGACTATTAGTGACTGTTTTTATTATTGATTCAAGAATATACCATATCTAGTTTTTTTTTTAAATTCTGTTTTCTTCAACCAGGGTGACCCTCTTAGCTTTACAGCGGGGCCCTGAACACAAAGTACATACAACACACCTATGATACAAGAAACAAAACAATGCAGAACATACAGAAGTAACAACTGGACAAAACAAGCATATCATCAAATACAAAGCCAGTATCCATACTCATAGCCCATATACCAGTCCGTTGCACAATATTCTTAATAGCTTTCATGATTGAGGAAAATGTCCATAAAATACAAGATGTCAAAAATAACAAGTGTCTGACAGATCATAA